TTTTATCATTAAGATTAGTGAAAAATGTGCTTCTTTCAAGGAAGTACTGCAGTATTTCCTGTACTTCAGGGGAAAATGAGCAACCAAAAAAACCCAAACATGTGCATGCCTCAAGATGTTGAAAAAAAAAAAGCCCCAAAACTTTTTCATTATTGTATGTAACATTACCTGCTTGTGCTTATCCAAAGTCTGTTCTTGCTTTTCTTGTGATTGTAACCTGTTCAGCATAATCTGTATGTAATGTGAGAGAGCAATTTCTTGACAGCAAAGTACCAAATACAAATTTTGTGAAATACCGATAGGCAGGTTGGCACTCAGTTCCATGTTTGGCACTGATACTGCACAAAACCTTTCACAGGGAATTATGTCCATAGCTAGCTAAGGGCGTGTAAACAAAACCTGAAATAACAAGAAGATATCGCTGTTTTCATCCCCCAAATTAAAACTACAACCAATTTCTAACACTTCTAAATGCACTTCTATGTCAGTTTGTGTAACATTTGAACATTTCTTTTTCAGTGTACATTAAGAGAGACTGTTTTCAACTTAACCTCTCAATGTAAATAATGATATTTTGACTACAACTTTTGTATAGGCAAATGATGGGCTGTAAAAAGGCAGCCGAGCATCCACTGGTGGCATTTTTTAACAGGGCTCTGTAATTTGAATTTATGTTGTGTGTTCTCCGTTGCAGAATTTGATGCTGTTTCAAACTATTCAGTCATTTTCACCAGTTCTGGAGATTGTAGGAGAGTTCCTGTTTTGAGGGGATTAGTGTTTGCTCTCACTGTTGCCATACTGACAACTCAGCTAAGACAAGCTTATTTTAAGAAAGCTGTTTCTACGTCTTACAGCTGTGAAAATGTATCTTGAAAAGGTGACTTGACTGCCACTGATTCAGTGATATGAATCACTCTGAAACATTTGAGAACTTTGTGCTACCTGCTAATCTCAGTGAGGTTCTAGCTGTGAAATGTAATGATGGCAATTTATAAATTGTTTTTTTAAAGCATTTAGAAGCACAAATCCCATTGATTTGGGAATAAAATTTTTGCTCCTAAATTATCAAAGCACTTGGAAAAAAATTCCAGTTAGCTATTTCTCTGCTAATAATTCTAAAATAAGTACCCAGGTAATAAAATTTCCAAATAATCCAAACCTACCTTATGCCTTTCCTTTGAAAAAAAGTTTCCAGTTTTTCACTGTAGCTATATGTTGTCTGTTTAGAAAAATACCCTACATTGTTAGGAAGTGCTGATAGGCATAAAGTAGTCAGCGCAAGGGTCCTGCAATGTTTGAACTCGTATTAGTTCGACCTGAAACTGTGGTACAGGACCAAGGCACACCACCACCACCACCACCAGTGAGCTCAGTTTACCTCGCTGCGTATCTTTGAGCCTGTAGTTCAGGAGACACATTGCTAGACAGACAGCTCTCAAGGCTAATCCGGAGCCCCTCCGAAACAACAGCCTCTTCTGGAGCCTGGGCCTGCCTGAGAAATGGGCTTAGCAACAGCAAAAATTTCAAGTAAGAAATTTGATAGAGTCTAATGTTTATCTTACCTGCTTTTGTGTGCACAAAATACAACCGCTGCATTAAGATGGAATGTATTTGAGAGATCCACCACAGACTTGTACAGTAAAAAAAAAAAATCTTTCCCACAATATAATCATGAAAAATAATCAGACAGCAGGGAAATAATTATTTTCTTAATGTCTGCAGAGTGCTCAGAGATTAGAATATAAAAGACCGTTTAAATTTACATGTTTACTATCTTTGTAAGTTCTAACTATGCAAACTTCCAGACCTCAAACTTTTATTTTCCCGTATCATTCCACTGAGTATAATAGAAGCAGGCATCTGAATGGCAAATGTTTTTTAACTTGTTCTCTCATTTGGCCAGGCACCAGGGCTTCAGAAAACTTCGGTCAATACCAAAGTTAGTGTCTTGCATGAAAGCTAACGCACACCACTACAGAGTTACTTCTAGTAGAAAGTAGTTCTCCATTTTTAGAAAGACAAAAACAAAGAGGGGGCAATGAAACTGAGTGAGTTTTGAGGTAGACTTTTAACTAAAAAAGAATTAAGAATCATATGTAACCACTTGTTTTTTCAGAATTTAGTCTGAGGTTTAATGTTCTTATCAGCCTTCTCTGCTGCACCCTGAACAGCCAAGTTTGGCTGCATCATTTATGTATCTTGGTTTACTGTTCCCTGCCAAGAGGGCATGACTCAGTCCAGCTCATTCATCTGTTAAAATAGGGCTCGTTCCAATATTAACTTGGGCCAAAACAAATCTGACACAGAGTAACAAAACCCAAGTTCACAATCTTCGCAGTTTTCTGCAGTTTTTAACTGAAATTGCTTTCTGGCAGTACAGTTGTGACAATTTAGCATAATTTGGCTCCTTTTTATCAAATTATTCTTGCTTTCTTACAACTGCATGTTACAGAAACCTGCTATAATGAGGGGATTTTTTGATTAGTAATTTTAAAATAAAAATTATGGTAATAGTTTTTATGTTTGGTAATTGCTGTTTTGGTTGTGCAAGTACAAGGTCATACATCACACCGCTTGCCTATTATCTTTTGTACTTTAGAAACCTACAGTTCACTTAATTGAAAGATGCATTAAGGAAAAAAAAGTGCAACGAAACATTATTCATATTCAAAACATGGGGAAAAAGAATGTCTTTTACCTTTTGTCAGCAGAACCGTCGCTCCTCCCTGCAGGTCTTGTGACTTTGCAGGTTTTCTTTTTTTCTTAACAAAACCAAAATCCAGTTGTGGTCACTTAGGGACTATATTCTCTTGCTGGAAACATACTACCATCAGCACTGTAACTGCAGACAATTCTCTTTAGAGCAGTCCTGCTATTCACATTTCCCTCAACTGCTGAATATTCATTTAACTAACTTTGTCCACTTTAAAGCCTCATGGTTATCTTTTGAGTGACAGAGGTACAAATTATTGCACTGCATTTTGGTACGTGCACCTTTTAAGCAAATATATTTTGGTTTCACTCAGGAGCTGTCACGGTTGACGAGCAAATGAGAGTGTGGAGGCAAAGTGAATTCAGATAGCAAAACGCTTTAATCGCAGATGTTGCAATTTTATCAATGACACCACTTCCCTGTCGCTTGGAAGACAGGACGTGCGCTGGGAGAGACAGCGTAGGGGTTCCAGCCATGCAGTGCATGGTTCTGGGGTCGCCGGGGCTCATCCCCACTCCTCGAGGCTGGAGACATGATCCCAGGCTCTGGTGCAGGGTTCCCGCCCCAGCAACCCTTCTGTACCATGTTTACCTTTTCAGTGTCCGCAGCTACAGGACCTCGCTGATGATCGGCCCCCTCAAACCACACTCTCATTTCCCGTTTTGCTGCGCCATCGCTGGAGCTCACCATCTGCTGCTTCGGACACTTTGGGACGTGTTTGCGCCGTGGTTCAGGACAGGTGGTTGATCATACGTCATCTACTACAGCAAAGAGTTAAAGTTCCTGGGCTTATGCTAGCAGCGATGCTGACTAGCCCTAACTCACGCCAACAGCGACAGGAATCCTGTCTCTTACAGAAATGAAACATCTCCTTTGCCTCCTGTTAAACACGTAGCTTATGCAGACAGAGGGCAAAACATGACATTCCGGTTATGCCGAGAAAACATGTATCCACCTCTCACCGAGAGGCTTCTCTGAAAATTCAAGCGTACTCCATTTCCAATTACCTTTCCCTCTAAATGCAGTAACTAAACGTTTTCCAAGTCACACCTACACTTACTAATCTCCTATCCCTAGAAGGCTGCTGGGAGTTCACACCTCATCCTCTGTCTTCTCATCAAAAAAACCCATCATCAGCACAGCCATAGCAAAGTACTGTCCGTGCTCAGCCCCCGCTGAAGCCAGCGGTTCACGCTCAGGACAGACATGCCTGTACCTTAGCTTGTTAGGCCAAGCTCAGGAAAAGTTTTAACTAGAAATGGGCAAAAAGTTGCCAACCATAGTCTTGGTCAGTACATTTAAAGCAAAATATTGTTATTTTGTTGTACAACATAAAGCTAAGTATTTTCTTTATACTACACTGAAAATGGGCCAGCTGCCTGATTTGGCATTTAGAAGTGTGGTGAAATGGTGCAAAATTAATCTTACTTCCTTGTCATTCTATTACTAAGTGAAAACAAAAGGGAGGAAAGAATTTAAAGGAGAGCAAATATACTATTAGCTATACTGAAACTATGACGAATTTACTTCCTTGAACTTTGCAATACCGCATTCCAGCTGCAGCAATCAAAACAGGCGACTGATGTAAAAGCATGGGAAAAAACACGCAAAAGCACAAGTCCGGTTCAAAGGCTCTGTACAGACAGAGCATAGCCAGATCTTGCGTGCCCCACAATTTCAAATTAAAAAGCAAAAAACTTTTTAAAGGAACTTAAAAGATACCAGGTAGTCTTAATTTTTAGGACTCTGGATTAAAAAGTTTATAATGGAGAACATCACGCTACAAGAGAATCTAGAAGAAAAGGCAACCGACCAGTGCATTTTGATTGTGTACACTTAAACGCACAAAGACTGGAATTGCTGGTACACACGAAGTATCAGATATTATTCTAAACCAGACATTTAAGACAACAGAAATTCAGTTCAAGATGGTGAGACAAGTTGAGCTGATAACAGGACAACACCGCTTTAAAACAGAGCGTTTTCTCTAAGAATAGAAGGCAAGGTACTTTTACGTATTTTCATCTTTATTTAATGAGCACTTTATTATTCTCTAAAGATTTTCATTCATTTTATCTAGTAAAACCATTCAGTCCTGTAAATAGGACTCAAGTCTGGGCAGGCTGCGCATCTCGAAATAAAATCCAGGAAATGGTGGATTTTATGCATCAGTATTTCAGTAGGCATCAGTAGTTTTTTCTAGACTGTTTTACATACATAAATAGAGCACATCAAAGTACTGTTTCTTTCTACACATCTATATTTGGACTCCAACTGCCATTTGTGCAAACCATTCTCATTTTGGAAGAAAGAGGCTTTCTTCAATTGCAGAATTCCATCAAATACCCATTTACCTGCAATTCTGAGGTGTAGAGGGGATTACACAAAATGCAAAGCTTTCTCATAGCTATTACATTAAATTCTATTCCAACTACAAGATTCGATAATATTACCAAAATGATGTTTATGTTTTGGAAGAGGCTTTGATTGCAAGATGTCCACTCTTCCAGACTTCTCAGCTTTCTGGAATGAAACAAACAGCTCACTGAAGCATTAAAAACGTATTTACACTTGGTTTGCTTTAGTCGAACCGAGATGAATAAGAGTCATAACGGTAGTGTAACCATGAAGCAGGTCATCCTTTATGTCATTACATTCTCTTAATACGAAATTCCCAGTAACTATTCGATCACATCCTATTTCCCCATGTCCAAAAAAGCCAAAGAGGGGAACGTTTGGAAAAAACTTCCTAAAGGCATCTGCTTCCATGTTCCTTTTGGTTTTATAATGCCGATATCCTCTGCCAACACATGCAAACATGAAGCCAATGGTGTTACGCTCAGGGATGTTTGCTGCTTTGAGACGCTGCATGGCGGCTTCTGCTGTCCTCTCATCAGCTACATCCTGGTCTAACAAAACAGTGGCACTCTGGATCTGGGGACCGCTGAAAGCCAGCCCCACCACACCGCAGGCGTCGCCCGGCTGGGCGTTGTTACTGAAAGGCAACAGGCACCGAGTGAGCGAACAATCCAGAGACCACTTCCAATCCGAATAAACTTCTGCTGTGGCAGAAACAGATTTCAAAGCAGACCAACATCCTACTAATTCTGAGAGCCATCCATAGTTAAAAAACAAAGCAAAGCCTTAAAATTTTAGGAACCTTTTTTGGTCGGCCAGGACACATTGGTTTTAGTACTTACCTACTTATGCTCTATTAGCAATACTTTAATACATGGCCAGCTTTCTTATCTGGAGTGATGGTGCAGCTGGCATGCATCAGATGCAAGAACAATGTTGGTATTACTATGGAGCCCAGACCTACGCTGGCATGAGAGGAGCCCGCAGCAACGTCTGCACTGCACATCCCGGCTCCAGTGAGGATGCACCAGCACCTGCGAGTCAGACAGCACCAAGGGCTCTCCCTGCGCAGCAGAGCAGCTGGAGCAACTGGAGCCGGAACCTGCCCTGCAGGGACCCGGGCGGCGGGAAGGGGTTTAACCTAGAGGAGATCTAGCCCCGTCCTGCAAGTGCCACGGTCCTGCAAGTGCCACGTCCTTCAGCAGCAGCAGCAGCGTATTAGGGGTGCTCCTGGGCACAGTCCTGTTTGCGTGTTCAGCTACTGCTGAACTAAAACGAGGCTGATAAAGAAACAAAATGTTCACAGAAATGGTCTCTGTCACAACGAGTGATAATTTATCTGCAAGCCAGACAGAAAACACAGACTACAAGAAACACACACAGGGTATCTGAAGCTGGAAATCTCCTTCGCAGTGGGTTTCTCCTAGCTGGGTTTCCAGAATCTAATTTGTAACACAGTCATACAAAGCTGCCAGCTTTTCTGGCTAGATCACAGGGTAGCAGTTGGACTTTATTCTCTTAAAAAAAATTATCACTTTACTAACTGTTAACGGGCACTTCTAATGTGACATAACTAAGAGGCTATGGCTTCTACAGCGTTTCTGCCGTTTTAAGTCTTCTTTACAATTTACCTTGAAAAAGATACCTACTTCTCCGAGGTCAGTGATGTAAAGCTCTCCACTTGTCCCCCAGCCAGGATGATACTTTTCTCATTCAAAGGATTGACTATTTGATGAAGAAATCGAGTTGCTCCAGACTTCCAGGAGTTGTAGCCAAACAGAAGAACCACCCGGAGATCTGGGTTATTCTTCAGACCTACAAAGAAGAACACAAACACCAATCCTCTTATTTTTAGATCCTGACCCCTGAAGTCCAGCCATCCTAGTCTCTCCCCAAATAATGCATCACACCTGTAGTCATGGCTTTCCATTGCTGCAATTGGGAAAACAAGACACAAGTTGCCCAGGCGTTGAGGAGCTGGGCTGCATTCCCCACGGAAGTCAGAATTTCTGAAAAGAACCTAGCAGGGAAAAGACGACTGCATCTGCTTCCTCCAGCTTTTAACTTCTTTAACAGAGCATTTGAGTTTTACCACAGCCTCTGAAGGCACAGGTCTTCAGTTTTACTTGGCAGCTTTAATCGTCCTTTTACAGGTAAGAACTGAGCGTATAGGTTATTCAACAAGAACCACAACACAGTAAATAGCTTTACCTGAAAATTAAATACATTACATACATCAGCCAGTTGCTTATCCCGAGGCAGAAACTCCCAGGTTCCTAAAAGACTCAAGAAACCCTCATTATGTTACTCTCCATAAACGATCTACCCTGCTGAGGACGCAACGTGAGGAACATAAGCTCTCTTTATTGAAATACGCTGTCTTCTGTTCTACCTTTCCTTGCTGCAACACCTGACTTGGGATCTAAATGCAAAGTTACTTTGGAGAAGAAGGGAAGCAGCTCCTCCCCGCTCGTTTCTAAACGGTAGTGATGGGAATCATTCCCAATGGCACAAACTCATTCATCGTTATTTTAAACCAATTAGAGGTTGCTCAATACCCAACGGCTCCCTCTGAACAGCTCCACTTGGAACCTAACTGAAGTAATCTGAGATCAATAGTCAGGATAACTTAATCTTAGTACTCCAGAGAATGGGAAGAACAGAGATGAATCATTACCAGCTGCAGCCCTAGAGAGTCCCAGCGCGCTCTGTAAATGGAGTTAGCGCAGAAGCCGTTGCTTCCACACTGGCGCCTAAAAGAGCAACACAACACTTCACAAAAGCCCAAATAAAAGGGAGAACAAGGACATACCTGCTTCAGCAAATTTACTTTCATCAAAGACCCTGTTCTTCAAGTCTTTCGAAAAATGGAAGGTATGAATTTTCACCCCATCGATTTTGGGAAACAACAGAGCAAACCCAGCTTCGCCCTCTTCGATTTCTTGAGGTTGATTGCTGCTTGAACCCATAGGGGTAACTACAAAGATACCAAACCAGACATCTTGTATTCAGTGATTCTAATGCTTTTGTCTACATGGTAACGCAGATTAAAAGAGGCAGAACAGCTTAGATGATGTGAAATGTAATAGTTCATTTCCATAACAACGTATCTAGTTGACAACTGGTGTGATTTTTTTGTTGATGTTTTGGTAAGATGAAGCATGTAGGAGTCCTGCTGGCTACAGATCACGCTGCAGTCCTGTTGGACAAGGACACAGGGATATATTTGGACGTTTCCCCCCAGCCACACCAAATATATACAGTTGGAAAACAAGCACTGTACAATACAGCTGTCTCAAGCCTTCCTGCCAGCTTCTGCGGGTATGCAAACATGCTCAGATTTTTAAGGACCACAAGTGAAACGGGGAAAGGTGTTATACAAGCATGTGATGACGATATAAAGCAAACTGACACAAATATTGGGAGTGTATTATCGAATTACGCTAGTGACAACAATCCAATACCCTACTTATGCTGTGGGAAGAGAATTTAAGGTGAGAAACTAGGAAGAAAGTTTCTAATGATAAAAAAGTAAAGCGCTAGAAAAAGACTGCCAAGGGAGGCTGTGAATCTTCCATAGTTATCGCGTATGCCTCCTGCTGGACCATAACAAACAGGCACGTACCGAGGATGTCCCCTGCCATTAGTCACAATGTGACTCTGAAAAATATAGATGAATCCAACAAACTTCCAATAATTACATTCAGGTGCCATGAAAAACTGCAATAAGCTGCCTCCTCGATGAAGTCAACCCTTCTAACTATAACTGCATCACATGAAATAAGAATTTAAGCTCTACGTGACTTAGCAGCGACACTGTGAACTCCTTAAAATTTAAGCTAGCGCCGAACAAGGTGGGAGAACACGGTAATTGCTGTGAGAACTCTCCCGTCAGTCTGCAGGACTACGCTTTCAAAAACGTACGAAACTGTGATAAACAGGGACCGGAAGAGACGTGCGATACACCGGGCACCTTGAAGCTGATCTCTCACAAAATCACACCGTTTTCTCCTACCTACAATCCCTGGGGTGACCAGTCCAAGAACCTGACATCGCTTTGGCAACAATTTTTCGAGGGCAATTGCTGTTTCTTTACTGTTTCTTTTCCTGGCTGTTAAAAAAAGAAAAAAAAAAAAGTAGAGAGAAGTAAAAATGAGTTGTTCTGAGCAGTACGGGAACAACCCTTGCAGTCCCGTTCTGTTTAGCCAATGCTGCCCATCGGTGGCTGCCCCGTTAACGGCGTGGCAGATCTGTACTCATCGGTAAGAGCCCAGGACAACCGGCAGGCAAACGGAATCGATACCCGGAATCGATACCCTCCAGAGGACGGGAAGGAACTCGGCTGGGTAAAATGACTTACACCTACGAGCCGTTTTATACCCCAAATGTAAAACTGTGCCCTCGCTTTTTTTGCAAAAGATTTTCTCTCCCTTGAAACCCAAATCCAGGGAGCTCCCCTTCAGCCGACTCCTCCGCGCGCTGCGAGCCCGTCCCGCGCGCTTCTCGAAGCGGGAGCGAGTCAGCCCCAGCTTTACCTTTCTTCTGCTCGTGGCAGTCCTCGTGCCCGCTGAAGGTCTCCGCGTCTGCTATGTACAGCACGGTCTGCGGCAGCACGTGCACCTTCTGCAAAAAGGCGGGAGAAGCAGCAGGACGGTGCTACCGAGCGGCTGCCGCCGGGCCCGGCCCGCAGCGGGGCGGGAGGAG